TTAGATTAATCGCGTATACCATACTACAGCTGAAAATCTGAAAGTCTGGAAACTACATGCGGCAATCATCCAATTTTTCCTCCCAGAACTGACATTTTACGGAATTTATTACCGGTTACGCCACCTGCGGTTTTCCCACTCCAGTCTTAGAAACAAAAGTGAGATTTAAAGCACTATGATATGTGATTCTTGCCAGCATATATGCAAACATGGAACTAATATGAAAATTGGAGGCTCATACATCTTATTAAAATGAGTACTAGCATTTATTTAAATTTCAGTTGAAAAAGGTAAGGATTATTAAAACTCTAATAGTGTTGAATTATTAAAAACAAACATAAATTTTGTCCTACCGACATATTATTACTTCGCATTATGACTTCGTATAAACTACTTAAAACAAATATAAAAATAAATTAATTTTAATTAATTATATTTTTTAAATGTACTTATAAAAAGACAAGTGTAAAACAATCCGTAACACAACCTAATTTTTTAAAAGAGTCATTTGAAAAAAAATATAATAAAAAAGCGTTGGTTTAGATCGATCGACGCGTTCTGTACGCTATGCTTTGCCATAATTCAACCTTTCCTACGAGCATCGTCGAATGATGGTATGACGTCAAGCCAAATGTCGAGGCTTCTTCCAGTTTGACTGTTCTGTTTCTTTTAAACCGATGGTGCGTCATGTTTGAACTCATATATTTGTTCATAGTCTGCGTGAACCTATTTATGAACCAGTAGAACAGTCTAAATGAGGAGACAGAATCGAATTTAAGTGGAAATTTTGTCCTAGAATTAGAACTTTTAGAGTCATTAGGTTTTCCGAAGGAGGAATCGTGAAATATGTGCAGTGTCGTTTTCAGGACTCGAATTCCGGACCTTCCGACTTCCAGCCTCATGTACTTTCAGTTACACGACAAAGGTATGCGGTAAGGAGGGAGAAAATATCTTATAAATTTCTCCTCTTTTAACAACCAGCGGTAGTTCAGTTGCGATGTTCCGTAGTTGTAGTCACTCATATATAATCATTTCCATATGGGAATAAAAGGAATTTGTAAGCGAAATTTCATTGCAGTCAGATAACTCCTTCTTTAGTGTGTCGTTTTTCTCTTAAAAAATATTTAACTTTGACAATGTAAGTTGGTGCCCATAATTATGCGTTTACGAAAGCAGAAATTTGGCTATGTTGTAAAAATCGTAAATAAATCTGAAAAAGTTAAGCCTTCTTATATAAGGCGAAGTACTTCCCATTTGGGTCGCTGAATAACCAGTGCATATTTCATTCTTCCCCAGCTACAGTTTAACACTGCGCCTATTATTTTTAGTATTAAAAAGGGACCAAAAGGAGTACTGGATTGTTTTATATTTGCTTTAGCTTTATATTAAATTATTTTGAAAAAAATATAGTATTAATTTCAATGTCAACAATATTTATTCAAAATCTAGATTTTACTGCCCGCAACCGAATGCTGTATAACCAAACTATGTGTTTGCACACAAGAACTCCAAAATCTTTTTAATCTTTTTTTGATGTCGGATTATTTAAGCTGTCATATATTTTCCTTATTTTCGAATATTATAATTATAATGATTGTCTACAACATAATTTTAACATAATTCAAACTTTTGTATTCTTGCATTATCATCTGTATTAAAAAGGAAACCTGATGCTCATGCATCAAACTCCTGTAGAAGGAAGTATCATGCAGCATGTTAAAATTTTTTAATAACATTGCGAAAACTGTAACATTGACTGGTATTTAACTTGAAAACTATTACATCTGTGAAATTTCAGTTCCATCTGACAATAGTATCTTCTCCATAACTCTCTGTAATAATTTTATATCAGATAGCATTTGAAATAAAATTTTTAAATTCCTGCCATCCTTAAAGCAATTCCCTGATCATATTTGATGTCACTTTATTCCACATTGCCATTTGATTGTGCGGAAAGCATTTAGAATAAAATTTGATAATCTGAAATTTTACTTCCCTGACCTGTTGGTTTCAAAATCATAAATCTGGTTTAAAATGTCATAAAGTTAAGGGTAGCAAGTTGGTTTTTCTTACTTCCTAATACTTTTCTCGACAATAAGAACTTAATTAATTGTAGGAATTAATTTTACGAATCATATATCTCGAGATTTCTCGTAATGGAATTATGAAGAAAAATTCATTCGTAAAATCGATATATTAATAATTAGGAATTCCATTTTGATGCGTAACATGCAAAAGAATTTGACCTCAATTACGTCTTGCTCAATTACATAATTATTTATGTATTTCGTATAATATATGTTTCTTTCTGTTTTGTAGTAGCCACAACTTAAATTGATGAGCAGCTATTCAAGCCATGTCTTGATTTCATAATAATAAAAATAATAAGACGTGTCTTGACTTCATAATAATAACAATAACAAGACATATCTTGACATCAAAATTTCAAAAAATATTTTGGATTTTTAAATTTTATGAAATACGTCTTAAATGTGAAATAAATAACTTTTGAATGGTAAGAATAGATCAAACAGAGTGAGATATAATCGAAAAACTCTTCTAGCATAAGCGATGAAAACAAGGTGGAGATAATTTAAGATATTTCAAAGATTAGCGACATTTCAGAAATCTTCTGAAAGCAAGTTTTCTAAACCTCAGGACATATATTTCTTCCTTCTATCAATGTTTGCACTGCTCTTGTGAAACTTCAAATAAGTCGCGATGGGACGTAAGCCAACTATAGAGGGTATTTATACAGTTCTAGAACGATACAGTTAAAGAATTAAAAAAAGCAAATGATTCTGAATGAAACATTCTAGCAACAGCTTATTATCTGATATCCGAAATATGGTTTGCTACTTTAAACGTATTCTTCTTTCAAAATGTCGCTGTTAAGTCCTTCTGAAGCCAGATGGCGCTGCCATCGTTACTGTTTACAAAAAGAATGTTAATTACTTGGGAGTTGGCTTCAATGCCGAAGCAGAGAGTGATTGTGGGAGCCTGAGCGTCTCTCAAAAATTAGTATAATAAAGATAAAGATATGCTACAAAGTAGTTTGTAAATTAGTTTAATTGAGAGTTACAGTCCATTTAGAAATTGCCGGACCATTTGTTTGAGTGGTCCAGTAGAGCCGCAGAGATATCAGCTAAATAAATAATCTAGTGTAAAACGGTGAGTTTGCCATTTTGTTTCAATGGAATTTGTGTTTGTGGATTATAGCCAGTTGCTGAAAGAAAGGGGTAAGTAAAAAACCCTTGAAACTCTATTCATTATTAACTGTTGCATTTAGTAAATTCTGAATTAAGTTCTGTGTGATAATTTGTTATTGATAAGTGTAGCGAAAATGGCTACGAAACTGAAAGATGTTCTCACTAAAAAGAAAAACTCAAAAAAACTATCTTATCGAAGTTGCAAAAGAAACTTTGTGAGCCAGATTTAAGTGTTAGTGATTTAGAATTGTTAAAAACTAAATTTAACAATCTGCAAAATGAATTTGATAATTATTTTTGATTCTATTATCAATTTTTAAGTAGTGAAGAAAATATCGAAAAAATCTTCAGTGAGCAAGATGAAATCAATAGTAGTATTATTGATATAGAATTTGAAAAATATAATAGATTGTCGAACGTTGTTAAGAAAATAAAGTAGAAAATGCAGTAATTTCTGAAAATACTGTTGTGCGTTTACCTAAGATTTCGTTACCGACATTTTCAGGAGAAATGCATTCTTGGCTTTCCTTTAAGGACATTTTTAAAGCGAGTATTGATCAAAACCCAAATTTATTAGATGCTGTAAAATTGCAATATTTGAAATCAGCACTGAAAGAAGATGCTTTTAGAATTATCCAAACGATAGCTATAACGGATAATAATTATATGTTAGCGTGGTCTCTCCTTGAAGAAAGATACTCGAATCCTAGAGAACAAGTGTATGCTCATCTTAAAAAGATTTATGAGTATTCCCGTTATTCAAAACGAGTCAGCTTCTGCGATTCTAAATTTAATTGATGTTACAAGTGAAGTTGTAAGATCGTTAGAATGTTTAGAACAAAAGTTAGATGGGGTTTCATCCGCTATATTTGCCTTTATTCTTAGCCAAAACTTGATCAGAATACTAAGTTATGGTGGGAAAGGAATTTAAAGAAAGAAAAAAATACCGAACATTACAGAGTTATTAGAATTTCTAAAGGATCACGCGAGGACATTAAACGCTTCTAGAATTCCAGTAATGTCTAAATCAAAAGCTTCAGTAAGTCAATCAAAGGTTTCTTCAATGGTTTCATGTGTGACTGAAAAACGTGCTTTAATTTGTAAACTGTGTAATGTGGAACATAAATTATTTAAATGCCCTAAATTTCAAAAATTCAGCTTAAAGGATAGAGTCGAGTATGTTAAAAAGCACAACTTATGTTTCTGCTGTTTTGGAAATCATGGAGTGAGAAATTGCCCTTCAAATTACTCTTGTAGGCTATGCAGAAAAAAAGCACAATTCGTTACTGTGTTATGAGCGAGAAAAATTTTCGATTTCCCAAAATAGAGAGAGTTGCGAAATCGCCTCTCTGTCGGATCAAAAGTCAGACGCCAGTTCGTCTACGGAAGTAGCGAAACTGAACGCTCACGCAAAGCCATTTATAAATAAGGATAAGCGAGTGTTTTATGACAGCTAATGTAAATAAAAATTGTAATGCAGTTAATAGAGTCCTACTATCGAATCGACAGCGATTGTTTATATTAAGGGAAATGGAAGGAGAAATATTTCCAGCCAGAACTTTGCTTGACAGTGGAAGTATGATTCATCTTTGTTCATCGGAATTAGCTGAGAAGCTTCATTTGCAAAGAGAAAATGTAAACGTATCAGTAGGATGTTTATCTGGGATTTCAACAACGGTGAAATCAAAAATAAGTGCGGTTATTTTAAATAGAGGAAACACATACAGTCGTAAACTAGATTTTTTCGTAATTCCGAAAATTACTCATTTTTGATGCCTTCTAGACAAATTGATGTCTGTAATATTGAGATTCCACAAAGGAGTTACGTTAGCTGATCCAGACTTTCACAAACCGGGTAAAATTCAGTTACTTTTAGGATCTGAAATATTTTTCGATTTGATAAGATCCGGGCAAATTTATGTACCAAATACAAATTTAGTGTTACAAAACTCAGCATTTGGGTATTTGGTAAGCGGTAGCATTGAAGATTTACCACATGAGAAACAATTAATGCATTGTGGGTTAATTTATGACAATGTCGAAGCACAGTTGAAGAAGTTTTTTGATTTGGAATCAATTGGTATCAGAGATGATCCCAATTCTTACGATGAAGATAAAGCATTAGAGATATTCAACAAAACTGTTAGTTTCAAAGATGGTCGTTATATTGTTAGTCTGCCTTGGAAGAAACGTTGGGAACATTTAGGCGACAATTTTGGTGTCGCAGAAAAAAGAATAAAAATCCTGATGAGAAAAATGCAGCATGATAATACATTATACCTGAAATATAGAGAAACTTTAGAAGAGTACCTAAATCAAGGGATAATAGAAAGAGTATTAGATTCTACGAAACCAGTAAACAAGCCAGTTTTTTATATGCCGCATCAGGCAGTTTATAGAGAAGAAAGCATTACATTACAACAAAAATGCGTATTGTATTTGATGCGAGCTCACATGAAATAGGTAGTCTGTCCCTGAATGATTGTTTGTGGCCAGGTATTAATCTGAATCAAAATATATTTCACTTGCTGATATATTTTAGACTTAATAGAGTTGCAATCTTAGGAGATATCGAAAAGGCATTTTTACAGATCGTGTTAGCTGAGAAAGATCGAGATGCAGTTAGATTTTTATTTGTTAAGAATATTGATACACCTTTGCAGAATACCGACGATCAGCTAGAATAGATCAGGTGTATAGATTTAAGCGTGTGCTCTTTGGTGTTAATTCCAGTCCTTTTTTGTTAGCGGCAACTATAAAGCTGCATATCCAAAAGTACAGAAATGTGTATCCCGATACCTTTCAAATTCTTGATACATGCATGTATGTTGATGATCTTGTTACAGGAGCAGATGATGTATCAGAAGCCTTAAAAACTTCAAGGGAAGCAAAGGAAATTATGCGTGGAGCTGGGATGAATCTACACAAATGGGTGACGAATGATAGTCATTTAGCTAAAATATGGGAAGAAGAAAATTTTGACATTCATCCGCTAAGCTCAAAGGACATACTAAAGGTATTAGGAATTCAATGGAACATTCAGGAAGATAGTTTGAGTATAGAGACTTCTTGTTTGACGAAAATTTCGAGGAGAAAGAAAAGTACCAAACGCTTCATCCTCCAAACAGCTGGAAAAATATATGATCCTCTTGGACTCATCACACCATTCACTGTTAGAATAAAACTTTTACTACAAAAGCTATGGTTACGTAAATTACCATGGGATGAAGAGCTTCCTTCTGATTTGAACGACGAGTGGTCTCAGTGGTGTAGCGAGCTTTCAGAACTTAGTAACATTAGTGTTCCAAGATTTGCTTTGGATTCATGTGATGAAAATATAGAGATCCATGTTTTTTCTGACGCAAGTCAAAAGTTGTATGGTGCAGCCGTTTACGTAAAGGTACAGAATCAAGAAAAAATTTCTGTGAATTTGCTGGCTTCCAAGAGCAGAGTTTCACCTGTCAAAAAAGTTTCCTTGCCTCGACTTGAATTGCTGGGTGCACTGATTGCTGCAAGATTGGGAACGGAAGTTAAAAAAGTTCTAGATCGTAAAGGTTCATCTAATATCTTTTTTTGGAGTGATTCTAAAGTTACACTGTATTGGATCAAAGGATCAAGCAGGAGATGGAAGTCTTTCGTTCAAAATCGCGTCGACGAGATTCAGAAGTTGACTAATCCAGATTCATGGTTTTATTGTTCAACCAAAGACAATCCAGCCGATCTTCTAACGCGTGGAGTTAGTGCCTCTTCTCTAGTGAACAATTCTAAGTGGTGGACTTGTGCAGAATTTTTTACAGAGCCGCATCTTCCCTACAAGTGCTTACAACCAATAGTTCCAGAGGTTGAGAACCTAACACCAAATGAAAGGGAGTCCTTTGTGCAAGAAAGCAAAAGTTCTAGTGACATTAATGACATTTCTGAGAGAACTATGTTGATTGACATGAACTCTAACGTTTTAGACGAACTCTTGAATATTAGTAACAATTATTATAGAATAATTAATGTTCTTTCTTATATTTTTAGGTTTATTTGTAATTGCAGGAAAGGTGAATCAAGAAAGGTAGGCCCTCTTCAACTAGAGGAGGTAAGAATAGCTGAGGAAATGCTTATTAAGCATGAGCAGAAGGTTCTATTTTGTAAAAAGGACATAACAGGTAACTTAAAAAATTTACATCCCTTTGTTGATCGTAAAGGAATAATTCGCGTTGGTGGCCGTCTTGAAAAAGCTTCTTTACCATTTTCTCAGAAATATCCTGCAATCCTACCAAAAAATTCTAAGCTAAGTAAGATTTATTTTTCTAGTGTGCACAGAAGATTATTGCATGTTGGCCCCCAAGGATTATTGAATGCAGTACGTTTAAAATTTTGGCCATTAGGTGGTAGAGATTTGGCGCGAAAAACAGTACATCTTTGTGTGACATGCTTTAAATGCAAACCGATTTTGTCTTCACAGATTATGGGCAATTTGCCATACGAGAGAGTTAATAGATCACCCCCATTTAGTGTTTCAGGTTTGGATCTATGCGGTCCCTTTTATGTGACTTACAAGCATCAGAGAAAGGGCGTGCTAAATAAAATTTACATTTGTGTATGTATATGTTTTGTGACACGAGCTATTCATCTTGAGCCTTTGTCAGATTTAACTTCTAGTGCTTTAATTGCCACTCTTAAGCGTTTCATGGCCAGACGTGGCAAATGTGCGAAAATATTCACTGATAATGCCCCTAATTTTGTAGGAGCAAATTCTCTGTTGAAGAAATTTTACAATGTAATTAATTTTCCTGATAAAACTTTGGCCTCATATTTCACGTCCGAAAGAATAGACTGGAACTTTATACCTCCCAAGTCCCCTCATTTCGGAGGGCTATGGGAAGCCGGTGTAAAGTATCATTTAAAGAGAACGATAGGAGATTTGCGTTTTACATATGAGGAGTTTGAAACTATAATTGTGCAGGTAGAAGGAATACTAAATTCGAGACCTCTTACACCTATTTCCAATGATTTTGATTGTTATGACGTTTTGACCCCAGGTCATTTTTAATAGGGAGATCAATACAGACGATTCCGGAGCCAATGATAATAGACGTAACTGAAAATCGGTTAAGCCGGTGGCAGAGAACAACGAAAGTAGTTCAAATTATTTGGAAGAAATGGTCAAATGACTATTTAGGAACTCTGCAGCAGAGAAACAAGTGGATGATAGAGAAGGACAATATTTCTGTTGGTACTATGGTACTCGTCAAGGAGGATTATCTGCCAATTTGCAAATGGATATTAGGTCGGGTTATTAAAGTCTATCATGGATCTGACAATAAAGTAAGAACGGTTAAAATCAAAACAAAATCAGGAGAATTAAAAAGAGCGATAACAAAGATCGCCGTTCTTCCGATAGAAAACTGAAATGATTTTTTTGCATATGTATTGTATTGTTATAGTATTGTAATAGCTGTAGTTATAGTAATAATATATTATGTTGTTTATAAGTATATTAACTTTGTTAAGAATGTTTGTATAATTTCTTGAAATTTTGTAATTTCAATCCGGGGGAGTGTTAAGTCCCTCTGAAGCCAGATGGCGCTTCCATCGTTACTGTTTACAAAAAGAATGTTAATTACTTGGGGAGTTGGCTTCAATGGCAAAGCAGAGAGTGATTGTGGGAGCCTGAGCGTCTCTCAAAAATTAGTATAATAAAGATAAAGATATGCTACAAAGTAGTTTGTAAATTAGTTTAATTGAGAGTTACAGTCCATTTAGAAATCGCCGGACCAGTCGCATGTCAATAACCTAAGCAACCTGCGGATTGAAGGATATGTTTTAAACTTTCCTAAGAGAGCTAATCGATTTCCTAATTCGATTTCATAATTCAAAAACGTTGTGAAATGCATGGCATTACAAATTTAAGAGCAAAATAAGCAACTTTATTAACCGAAAAGGGAAGAAAATGTCAGTCATTACTTCTACATAGAAAGAAATTTCCATGCGAATGCCCTAAATGCTATATACTGCTTCTATTTTTTTAAAATGTAAATCTTTGTTAACAAGAGAAATTCGCCAATGCAGAAATCAATTGGAAAGTCTTTAAATACATCTGCAGCAAAAAAAGTGAAATAACAAACCAGGATTTACAACTTAAAAAGGCAAAAGTTTCTAATATTCACTTTTTTTTTTTTTTTTTTGCCGGTTGCTCGACGAAGAACAGTTTGTAAAACTTTCTATGATTACCGGTCTGTTCACATATTTGTAAATGAAATATCCTTTGGTAAAAAGGAATTCATAAATTCCTAAATTTTTCTGTCTAATCTCTTCCTTAATAAATAAGAAAAAAACATTCTCAAGACATTCTAACCATTAAACATATTTTCCTTTCCTGTTCTCAGTAATATTCTTTTTTCCTATCATAAATTGTCTCTTTTCTTATTGCTGATCTTTAGTTATCAAGAAGGAAAACGTTTTCTCTTTTAACATTTTTACTATTTTTTAATAGAAAATTTCAGATTTTTCCTCTTTTAGATCGATATATCGTAAAATCGTAAAATCGATATATTCTCAGATTGTAATTATTCTGAAATATAACAGGATATATCAACTGTGGGTGGGTGATCGCTATTGGCAGTATGTCTGTTAGCGTATTCAGTTTTTAATCCATAGAATTAAAAAAATCTTTAAATTTTCCTCAAGACTATACTGGTTTTGCAAGAAAGATAGCATAATTTATAAAGTTATTATCGAAAAGAAATGACAATTTGATATACGATATTACATTGGAATATGACTCGAGATAGACAATTCGCGTCAGCGCACACTTTTCTTGTTTACCTCTTTAAAGACATTGGTAGGATTGTCTGGGATTTTCAATATGCAAGATTATCCCATGATTATCAGTGAGCATAATTATCAAGCGGATCAGTACATTTTTGGCAATAGAGTCAAAAAACGAAGAAAATTGTTACGATCACATTTCCACTGAGGTGAAGAAAAAGCAGTTGCTGAAAGTTATGAAGGTGGCATGCGTATCCGGTATTTGGCTTTTGCATTGCCGAGAACGCGAATATCCATGATTATAAAATGGTTTTTGATTGCATGAATTGAATATTTCCAAATAAAATTAGCTTTGATTTACTAGGTTCTGTTGAAAGCAATAAATAATTTGAATTTAACGAAGTACTGATTTTATTAAGCAGCTCAGTGCATTCAGAATCAACATATCTCTGAAATAGGCCCAAATTTAGAGCTTTGTAGTTAGTTTTAAAAAATATTCATTAGTAATGTAATGGAATATTTTCTCAAGAATTACGTGCAAATTATTAATTTCATTTATCAGCTAAATATGCCTGGAAATCTAAGAAATCGTCTCTACAAATTCAAGCAAGGTTGCTTCTACATTTTAACATTTAAAATTGGGATCTAAAAAAATGAAATTTCATTAATAGCTTATTGGACTAATGCAATAATTTCCGAGTTATTGTGAGAAATAAAAATGCCTTATGATTGCTAACTGGAATTAAGTAAAAACTGCTTATTACATGTAATTTTACTTGTATTTATAATATATTTATGTACATATAATCAACTTTTACTTGTAGATCGATACACCACATACAAATATCTATACCCTGTACATACAGAAGGCAGAAGATCATCATTTAGACATTCGGCTTGTACTTATGTATACACACGTGCTAAAAAATAAGCAACAAACAGTAAAAAAAAGGTACGAATGTAAAAGGGGTAACTAAAATATGCAACTTACATAGGAGGCAGAGGTTGCATTGCCGAATGCAAATGCGCAACCAAAGTTACCATAAAACGCAAACACGCAGTCACACCACAAGGCCATAAAAAAAATGTCATGTCGAACCTATGCTTGATTTCGCAAACAGCGATAATTCTGCATAATCCGAAATAGCCAAAGCTGATAGCATGAGCGGAAGACACCATCTCTGCACGATGAAATGCATTGGAGGGCTGTGGGGATGTTGCAAGCTACTGCAGAACAATCCGGTTTTGCTAGAGAATTGAATGTGCATTGCAGAGTCATCAACAGAGGTTGTGGAATCTTTACCAAAGGCAATCAAAACCGCTGTAGAAGACGTAGGTCTGGACGCCAGAGGATTTACTCAACGGTAGATGGTCGCTTCCTATTGCTATGTCCAAGACGTCGTAGATTACTGACAGACATAACAGCATAACATGATTCATTTCTCAAACTAAAATTATACTTTATTAATCGGTTAGTAGATATTTTGTGGTAAAAAGCTTTGAAAACATTCAATGTAGTCAAAGTTCTAAATGTCTTAAATTTTGTGCTAGCTGTCATATATTTTTCAATATAATGATAATATTTACAACTGAAACGCTTGTAATAAGAAATAATTATTTTTATTAATTGTGGAATCTTTACCAAAGGAATCAAAACCGCTGTAGAAGACGTAGGTCTGGATGCCAGAGGATTTACTCAACGGTAGATGGTCGCTTCCTGTTGCTATGTCCAAGACGTCGTATATTACTGACAGACATAACAGCATAACATGATTCATTTCTCAAACTAAAATTATACTTTATTAATCGGTTAGTAGATATTTTGTGGTAAAAAGCTTTGAAAACATTCAATGTAGTCAAAGTTCTAAATGTCTTAAATTTTGTGCTAGCTGTCATATATTTTTCAATATAATGATAATATTTACAACTGAAACGCTTGTAATAAAAAATAATTATTTTTATTAATTTTATATACAGATGGCAGATTTAATGCAGCAAATAAATTCTCTGATGCTCAAGTATTACAAATTTACTGTAATTAAATATCTTAAGACTGAAATGTTTAAAAGAAATTGTATGCCTCGGAATATTTATTTTTTAATTCTGACATTTTATATCGCAGTTTTTACCGTACCGAACTTTAAAGCCTTCTGTAATAGAAAAGATATCGTCATTGTTTGCTTAATATAGCAAAAACAAAATTCTTAATTAAGATATTTTAACATTATTTTTTTCCATTTCCTGAAATATGAAAGACAGTGGGCGAGACAAAATGACATTTTTCGCTTAAAAAGCGTACTTTAAAGTACAGTATTTCTTATCCAAACTTAAAATGCAGACAAAACTGTTATTGCGATGAGCGCTTTCATATGAATTCTTCTTAAACACTGCTAGAGACATTTTAATGAAATTCCTTTTCAGAAATTAATTGTATACCTCAAAAACTGTCTAAATGCATGTTATTTAATTACGTACTTTCTTTTCTGAGGGTAATATGTATATTTAAAATGTTATAAACTATTCAAATTGTTGTCATATGCATTATTATATATAGTGAAGCAAAATGAAATGAATGAAAGAAATGAAAGAATGAAAATTACGAAGCAAAATCATTCTATAAGAAATGCATAAAATTATTGAATACACTTAAAATTCAAACTAAAATGATATTGGAGAGTATTAACAAAATGTTACTCTTTAATCGAAAAAATACTTCCTCGTGAAATCATATTAAAACATGAGTTAATTAAAAATGTTACATTAAACGCAAAATGTGCGCTGAAAATTAAACATATTAAAAATTACATTTGGAAAAAAATATAATCTAACACTAAATTAAAATAAATTAAATTAAAATACCGGTAAGTATTTAACTTCATTTAGAATTTTTTTTTATTTCTATAAGCAAAGTTTTTGTTCGTCAGACTTTTAGTTTATTCATTTAGCATAAGCATTATATTTTTCATTTATTTTTAAACGCCCCCGCGTGGATTTAAATCAATAGATCCTATTTTAATCTCGCAACATACTACACGCTTACTCCAGTGAGATCACCTTAAAATTTCATGAACCTTTTTCAAGTTGTAAAAGACTAAAATTTTTTGTTATAACAGAATTTACGTTTTCACCCAGAAATTAATAACTTTTTATTATGTTTTATTTAACTTTTCTCTTTTCTTTTATATCATAGTCCAATGCTGAAATTAATATTTCATCATCATCTAGGGACCTTTTTGAAAATTTTCACATGAGTATTTACAATGCTAACAAATTTTTCCAAATATGTCTCTAAAAGTTTTGAAGACATATGTTTTTAAAACTAAACATTTCTCTTAAATTTTTACGATCTGAAAAATTATTACAAAATTTTGATTTTTCACTATAGGATAGATCGAAAATTCATTTTCTATATGACGGTTTTTTATAATAGTCACCATTTTTTTAATTTATGGATATTTTCCAAAACTCATTCAAATATTTTAGAGATCTGCTGTCGATGAGACCTAGATAGGATGCCCTGAAGAAATACTGGGATGTGACATAGCACTCAAGAGAATGTGTGTAAGAAGTTAGTGAGATATTCCGTGACAGCCTTTAAGATGTAGAAAGTAGGACTTCAAATTCTAAAATCTTGTACTCTGTCAATGAGACCTAGTTAGGATGTCCAGTGGATATTCTGAAATGTGATATATCCTGAGGATGTAATAAGTTGTACTTCAATCCTAATATCCCGTACTCTGTCGATGGGACCTATATAAGATGTTCTGAGGATATACTGGGATGTGGCATCCAGCACTTGGGAAGACATATTTAGAAAATTAGAAGCATATGCGGAATTTCCCGAGGATGAGCGCTTATCCTGTGAAAACATCTTCAGGATATCCCGAGGATGTTTTTACGCTATGTGAGTTAGTATGAAATAAGAATGTATTTTCAAATTCAAAGATTCAATCTTTCCTTGTTAATCTATCACTTCAAGTGATAATCTATGACTTCAAGTGAATGTGAGATTGATATTCCAAATGAAACATAAATTTTGATAATCTTACTCTTTAGTTAGAAAGAATAATTTTCTTAACTACAGAAGCAGTGTTTTTTTCTTTCTTACTTTTCATTATTTTACAAACTAAAAAGTATAACATAATACCTGTAAAGTATTTTTAAATTGCACGGTTTTGATGAAAAGTATTAGAATTGCATAAAATATTTTACATACAGTAATACTTTTGTTCGTTTCATAAAATAAATCATTAAGCCTTCAATGTATGTATTAAGATAGTATAAGAATTTTGTAGAACAATAAAAGCGACAGCATGCCAATGACATATTTAAAAATGATTACATCCATTTTACTTTAATTTCTCTTGGAGAATTTTGATTTAAAACACACTGCTAGCAATCACTTGATTTTATTTTGAATCATATGTGTTCAAAATTATTATTATAACGGGGGGTTCCTGGTATCCATAAATGTTTATTTTTACACCTGCGCGAAGCTTGACCATATCAGCCTCTTTAGTGGAGGAATAATGGCTGCGCACCACAAGGGGTGTAGAGTTATATAAGTTGGCGCCTAAAGCGTACACACGACTGTCTAGCCATCATTATTATGATAAAATAAGTAACTACATTAGCACCTGCGGGTTAAGCCGTAGCCATTCATGAAAAATCAAGCTGTGGATGCGTGAGTGTGCAGTTCACTCAACGAAATGACTGTTCGAAACTCAGTTTGAATTTCTTTCACTGTAAAGTTCAACTTGTGCCATTTGCGCCATGCAAAGTTTTTTTGTGAAGGCTGCTCGAAGGGTAGGATTAGAAACCGGTTAGTTTACTATTCCCCCATTTTAGAGACATTAGGGATACAAATATCATCCATTACAATAAACAACCTAGTTGTATAGCAGCTAATAAATAGTTTTTTTCTTTTTAATGCATTTGAATGAAACCACATAATTTTGAAATATTTTAATGTATTTCATTCTTTTCAAAAAGGGAAAATTTCCGTTCCCTCCTTTTATAAGAAAATTAGAAACTACACTTGTGTAGAGAAGCAACATAGCAATTTCCAGTTGAAAAATATTTTTCTAAGCAGTTTTGTAGCAATTACGAATAAAATCACTTAGAATACTCCCTTTGCATTTGGATTTCAATTCAAAATTACTCTCGGGAACACAAGCGACAGAGTGTCGCTGTTATAGGATGAAAAGAATTTAACTCAAATATATTTTTCCTTTTATTCAATAATTTCTTGCAGAAAAAAAGTGACATTGAGAAGAAAATACTGTTATATCCTGCAAGGAAGACTTTATAGGCTTACTCTAATCTTTATGTGAAGCAGTAGGCATTATCTCTCTGATACATGGAATGCGTAAGAATCTCGCTTACGAAAACACTTTTTCACTATTCTCGCGTGAATAATGTGAATGGCCACTATTGCGGATGCCGCATTAACAAGCATAATGTGGATATGGCCAAAGATTTCTTTTGTTCTCAGAGTTCAGTGAAGTTTGTAAATCAAGACTTCTTCATTCTTATGTCTCTTAAGGCGCCATTTTTCCAGCGATCTTTCGTTGGTTTATTAAAGAAAGCAACGGAGAACTACTTTCTTTGCTGGTTGGTTATTCGCACTTTGCTTGTTAGTGCAAGATATTTTTATTCTAAATTCAAAGTATGCTTAAATTCCACTTTTGAATTACTTGAAAAATAAAATAAAACTTAGTAGAAGAATATTTTGAAATAAAAAAAATCTCATAACACTTAATTAGTCTGTAAAATATCTGTTTTACTCGCCTATGCGCAAAATACGATGAGCTTTAGATATGATCCATTAATGGTTGAGCGGTAAAACAGCTGAACATTTGTAGTTCGACTTGGGTTTAAATCCGGCCTCAGTTTAATCGTCTGAGAGATTTTGCGTTTTCTCCATATATAAGATGAACAGGAATCAGTTTCACTCAAAATTCCTCCAAGAAGGTATCTTTCTCGTCAGAGAGATAGACCTAAATACCATAATCTAAATAATCAAATCAAGCTAATTCACTTTAATTATAAATGCTGAAAATATGTATAGCCTCAACATCCTACAATCGCACACCCCGGCAGAGTGATTAATCACTGGTAGATTGATCTGGGTTCCGTTCCAAGTGAATACGTTTGCTCCATGATTAACGAGAATGTGTCTCACTTCCACCTAAAAAGTTCCCCAAAAGGCATTTCGTCTGTTAAGAAGATAGTTCTAGTACAAGTTTTCGTAATAAATAATTTATAACCCAATATGTTGCCTAACTGTAGCAGAATATCAAACTTATAATGTCATATATTACTTTTTTTGTAGTTTATATGGTATTTCTCTCACTATCTTAGCATGCCTGCGTAGTGTAGTGGTCAGCATACTCGGCGCTTATTCAAGAGCTCCATGATTCGAATCTCGTCGAAGACGCTGCACATTTGTTTTACACCTGCCTTCAATGTGGCCTAATGTCTCTATAGTTTCGCCCAAAATAAAAGGGTGATGGATGATGATTCTCCCCACCAGGATTTGGCAATTGGGTCTCCTACTCTCCAGTCGCCCTTTAAAAAAAAGGAGTATATAAGGTATTTCTCCCGCATTCTTAGCATGTTTTCGAAGTGTAGTGTTCAACACGCTCGGCTCGTATTCGAGACGGTTGGACTTCCGGCTAAGTAAGTCCGGTTAAAGCGTTTTTTATCTCTCCTGCTACCAAAAATCCCTAATCTCTTTACAAGTTCTCGAAGAAGAATTAGTTATAAAATTATCATATAATTCTTTGAATAATGAATACACAATAAAATTCATACAAGAACATTCATAATAAATAAAATAAATAAATAAAAATAGTTCATGAAATGGATAAATAAGTAAAATGATAAAATATTTTTATCGTTTCCAATACCGAGGTATAAAATAATGAAACTTTTGCGCCTTTAGAGCAATAAATCTCCTACAGTTTCTAAAGCACGAAGACGAGGACTTTGCAGTTTCTGGTATGGTTCATTATAATAATAATGGCTTTAATCAGGCTAAGAGAGTGGAAATATGGAGACAATATGCTAAATGCGGATCTTCTGTCGGTTAGCTCGCTCCCTTTTGGCGTGTTGCCTTTAAAACCCATCCATTAGTATCTAATTTACCTTGAAAGGAAGCATTCATCTATATGATGGCAATGAATACAAATGTAAATTAGCTTGGAAAATTTTTGTGCCCAAATTCAAAATCAACGAAATACTTAAACCAAGGCAAAGGAATAATTTTGTGCTTGCGTAGATTGTAGTGAAACCTTATCGATATCAAGGGAGAACAGCTAAAGGTCTCTTTTCGTCATGATATATTTACAGAAATGTTTTTAAATATTTCCTGTACGTCAAAAATAACATTTTTTATAAATATTTTATAAGTTCGTGAGGTGGCTAATATTCGCTGAATGGAAGTTAAAGATTTCCGTACCATGTAAAATATAGAAAGCCGTTAATAATATTATCTTTAAAACTCTTACGTTATTTTCTGTTTAAAAGTTGTATCCTGGACTGACCAATTAGAGAATACCGTTGAACACCAGAAAACAAGTTCGAGCCGGTTCGATTTCGGGAAACTGTTTGGTTGCAAGACTGTTTCCTTAGCTTTCCCATTTGTAACACACCTGCTGCCTTTGAAAATTCTCCATAAAATAATCACTTCCTTAGAAGGTAGTCAGTCCTCTTGTAGCCATGGCTAATATGATTTGTAAATTATGTAAACAAACTTTATGTAAGCTAAAACCAATGCTTCACCATATTTTTCCTCATGATATAAAAATGAAATAAAAGCAAGAAGCCTTTAATTTTTTATAAAAGATTCATGCAGGACATGCCGAAATTCTTACCACAGACAGAAATACCCTACGCTATTCCCTGCATTGTGTTTTATTATTTTATAATATAAATTCAAAATATTTTTCGGTCTAGGTAGCAATTTTTAAAATCCAGATAGAGATTAAATATCAAATATTAAACACAGTTAAGCATTTTGGTCTTGTTGGTGGCGTATGACATCTTCATATATAGATGTCTGTTTTATCTACATTTGAAACTTTTTAATATTCGCGGGTAAAAGTTTCATATGATGGCTTGACAGTCGAATTGACAGATGGATAAAATTGAGCTTATCTCAGATTGAATCGACATAAGAGCCTGAACTAAATCCTAGTGACATATACATTTTATGTATTTGGGATTAACACCATAAGTTAAAAAGTGATTGCTAAATAATATAGCAGTTCTTTACAGCAGTTTTGTCAG